AAAAGTTTAAAATCTGAATCTGTTGTGGAGCCATCGATAAGTGATTGATCAGTCAACAGCTCCATCGCTCAAATACCACTGACATGAGAGAAACACACAATTGAAGTATTTTGTCATAATATCATCAGGACAGAATGGCAAGAGTGCCAAATCTCAAAGTGAACAGTGTGGTTTCTTGTCAGCAATGCTCAAGTTCTGTACTGCCTGAAAGACTCTACTCCAGTTGTACTGTGTGATTCCCTGGATGGTAGACAGAAAACTAGATCCACTTTAGTCTTTCTTCATATTTTCTGTGACAATACTTAAAAGAGCTAGAGAAAATTTGTAACACAGGGGACTGTTCAGAACGCATCTCTGGTGCAATCATGCAAATGATTGAATGCGTGTTCCCTTGCTAAAAAGCGAGCAAAGTTCTGTCTGGATTTTACTAGAAAACTCTTGAATCCTATTTCCTATTGGCATTCCCATTTGCCACAACCACCTGGAAATAAACGTTTGATACAATTAAGGAGAAAAGTCACTATATACAGCAAGTGGCTTCATCATACGCAGCAGTGTAGAGGAGATGTCACTGAGATGGCCATCCATTTATTAGATTCGAATCCCTTCATGGCAGATGAATCCTCTAAAATCTGGGATTCAAAAAATGGTCTAATGGCGACTGTGTAACCATTGTTGCAAAAACCCATCCGGTTCACTAATATCGTTCAGGGAAGGAAATCTGCCATCCTCACCTGGACTTGCCTGCAGACCTTCGGCAATGATCTTACATTGGGCCATTTGAGATGGCCCAGAGTGCCAATCAGTTCAAGGGCATGAGTTGGGCCACAAATGGCAGCAATGCCTACACCCCATGGAGAAGCAACATGCTACAAAACAACCCAATCCCCTATTTTATAATGCCCACAAATATTAAGTCAGTGGTTGACAATTTAAAGATCTCAACCTGACACCTTGTGATCTATGGTAATACAAATTGTGAAGTAAAGTCGACCTTTCAGTTTTATTCTGTAAATTAAAGTGACCTGCAATTTCGCAACATATTGTAGTTATTTGTACATTGAAAGGTTTATAGCTGTGCAGTCCTTTTATTATTTTACACATTATTCTTAATGATTGTCTGTAACTATGTTATGAGTTACAGCAACTTGCTTTATTTGTCTTGTCACCGCAATCCAGCACCAGCTGCTAAAATGACATTTCAACAAACTGATTGAATCTCTGTCTAGCTGCACTCAGTTAGGAACACGACACATCACTGCTCCTTAAGGGGACTACCGAGTATTTTTTTTTTTTTAAAAAAAGTGCTGGGAGTTTCTGCTTTTGCCAACCTTTCTGCAGAAGATTCCAGATACCATCCCACTCCGCTGCCAACCCCCCAAACCAACCCCACCCACTGGGTAAAAAATTATTTCCTCATCCCTGCTCTAACCTTTCCGCTAAATACTTTAAAGCAAAATACTGCTGGAAATCTGAAATCAAAGCAGAAAGTTTTGGAGAAACTCAGGTCTGGCAGTATCTGTGGAGAGAGAAAAACATTTCAACTCCACTATGACTCCACTCCAAAAAAGTGACTTCTCCTCTTCAAGCCACTCGCTACCCTGATTTGGAAATATATTGCTGTTCCTTCAGTGTCGCTGGGTCAAAATCCTGGAATTCCCTCCCTCATGGCATTGTGGGTCGACCTACAGCACATGGACTGCAGCGGTTCAAGAAGGCAGCTCACCACCACCTTCTTGAGGTTAATTAGGGACAGGGTACAAACACTGGCCTGGCCAGTGAATAAAAAATAAAAAATCTGGACTCAAAATAAGAACTCTGTCTCGCTCTCTCTCTCTGTCTCCACAAACTGTTGCCAGACCTGCTGAGTTTCTCCAAAACTTACTGTTCATACTTTAAATCTAGACCCTCCAATCCCTCTGTTCAACTGCCCCCATTTACTGTGTCTAGGCCATTCGTAACATTAGAATTGCTGGAACTCTGGATCAAACACAGAGTGCTGGAGAAACTCAGCAGGCGTGGCAGCATCTGTGAAGAGAGAAATAGAGTTAATGTTATGAGCCCAGTCTGACTCTTCCAGTTTTGAAGAAGACGACACATTAACTCTGTTTCTGTCTCCACAGAAGCTGCTGGACCTGCTGAGTTTCTCCAGCATTCTGTGTGTTTGGTTCAGTCATAACTTTACAGATCTCTAGTTAGCCCTTCTTAATTGTCACATCTCTAACCGCGGCAGCAAAGTGCACTTCCAAGCTGCTGGCTCCAAAATCTCTCAATGACATCTGCCAGGAGACACTAACCAGTTTAGAATAGGTTGTGGCGCAGTGGGTAGTGTCCCTGCCTCTGGGTCAGAAGTTCCAGGTTCAAGTCCCACCCCAGGACTTACAGAGGGTGTGTCGTGGTATAACCAAACACCGATTGTCAATTGGTGAATCCACAGCTGGCAGTAGGAGTGGGAGGGTTGATAGTTGTTAGTGATAGCTGTGCTATGAAAGCCTCCTCATGTCAAGGGTGCTCCATGCATTGGCTCTTGCCATGAGTGAGTGCTACCTGTGTTGCTTACCTGGTGAGCTCCATGGGGCACCTATCTTCTGAAACTGTGCAGTTACACATCATCTCCCTCAGAGCATTGATGGGTCGGGCCAGCAGCATGACATTAGGGAGGTTGAAGTTCGGGCTTGTGGAGGTCACCCCCACGGTCACCACGGTTACCTGGTTATGGATGTTCAGCACTTCTCCCTTCTTCGTAACCTGCAAGGAAGAGGGAGAGCAGTGAACACGGCAACTCAAAACTCACTTCTGGTGCAGTGAGGAAATCTCCATTCCCCAGTACTGTAACCATTAACACACTTACAACAAAATCTATCGAGCTCAGTTTTAAAATTTGGTGTTGATGCCCAGTCACAATACACTTTTGATGGGAGGAGAGTTCCCAATTTCCATTCACAGAATCCCCACAGTGTGGAAGCAGGCCATTCAGCCTATCCAGTCTGGACTGGGAGGATGCCCTGTGGACTCAACAGGCCAAATGGCCTGCTTGCAGACTGTAGGGTTTCTGGGGATTCTTTTCAGGAAAACTTTCTATGTGGACTGCGATTTGGAATGTAGGACATGTTCGACATTCAGGTTCAAATCCCACCATGGCAGATCGTGGAATTTGAATTCCATAAAATAAACTCCAGATTTAAGAGTCTAATGATGACCGTGAATCCATTGTCGATTGTCAGAAAAACCCACCTGGTTCACTAATGCCCTTTAGGGAAGGAAACTGCCATCCTTACCTGGTCTGGCCTACATGTGACTCCAGGCCCACAGCAATGTCGTTGATTCTTACCTGCCCTCTGGGCAATTAGGGATGGGCAACAAATGCTGCCTGGCCAGCGATGCCCTCATCCCGTGAATGAATGTAAAGAGTATGGAGTATTTGAGGTAAACAGATATATTGATGGGGGGGAAAGAGGGTAGGAGTAAAAGGTAATGCTGACAGGATAAGCTAAAGAAGCTCATGTAACCCTGGCAGTAGACAAACTCTTGTGGTGAAAGGGTAGTGCTCCTACCTCTGAGCCAGGAAGCCCACTTTCAGATTCCACCTGCTCCAGGGGGAGGGTAACAATGATTCTGAACAGGCTGATTGGAAGATATTTATTAATATTGGCATGGCCCAATTGGGCTGAATGGCTTGTAAATTCTTTGTAACCTCCTCCATATGTTTTGCCTCTCGTTGTGGAGCTCTGGCCCCATGGCAGGTCTGACTTACAGCGTTGTGATCTCCACCAAGGACAGGGCGAGAAGGAAGGTCCCGAACATGACCCCCATCCAGAAGGGGGATTTAACCCCATGCAATTGGCATCGACCAGCTCCCCCAGGGAGTCCAGGCTGCTGTAGCACCATTCACTTTTTAACCCACCAGCGCACGGTGTTGTAGAGAAACGGGCAGGAACGGCAGAGGCCCCAGTGTTGTTTCTACCACACGGCTCAGACCAGGAATGGCTCACCGTCTGCTAGGAACGGGAGTCGGAAGAGTTTGTGGGATGACGCTTGACCTGTTTGGCTACATGGTGACTACATCTTCCTTGGTGTTCGACTTGTGGGTTGAGAATTTTTTTTTTTTTTTTTAAAATAACAGCACAGTCACAACATTTTAGGCAGGTGCATGGATAGGGAAGATTTAGAGGGAAATGGGCCAAATAACTTAGAATTATAGAATCTCGATAGTGCAGACCCATTCGGCCCACACCAATCCTCCGAAGAGCATCCCAACCAGACCGACCACTTTACTCTATCCCTGTGACCCTACATTTCCCACGGCTAACCCACCTATCCAGCACATCCCTGAACACTATGGGCAATTTAGCATGGCCAATCCACCCTAGCCTGCACATCTGTGGACTGTGGGAGGAAACCGGAGCACCCGGAGGAAACCCACGCAGACACGGGGAGAACACGCAAGCTCCACACAGATAGTCTCACAAGGATGGAATTGAACCCAGGTCCCTGGCACTGTGAGGCAGCAGCGTTAACCATTGAGCCACTATACCAGCACTGAAATTGGAGCATTTCAGTTGAGGAAACCTGGTTGACATGGACAAGTTGGGCCAAAGGGCCTATTTCTGCGCTGTGTGACCTACAACCATTCATGGGGTTGTGGTTATCACTGGCAAAGCCAGTATTTATTGCCTGCAGAAGGTAGTAGTGAACTCCTTCTTGAATCACTGCAGAATTTGCAGTGTAGGTAGACCTACAATCCTGGGAGGGTGGGAGTTCCAGGATTTTGACCCTGAAGAAATGGCAATATATTTCCAAGTCAGGGCAGTGTGTGGTTGGAGTGGGATTTGAACCTGAAGTTTCTGGCAGTGATGCTCCCCCACTGCCACAAGGGATGTCCCTCCCTATGGTGAGTGTTTGGTACTGAATTCTTCCTTACCTGAACAAAGTCACTTTCAAAGATGGGAGCGTATTTGAATGGATCATATTCACCATAGAAGAGATGCTGTTGGAGGGCCCCTGGTGTCGGTGTATCAGTGCAGATCTTCTGCTTGGCAAGGGGGCTGCACAGTGGCATGGTATCCAGACCCGACGAAACCATTTTACTTCCCTACCTCTAAAGAAGTGACGAAAAGGAAAAGCGTTTGAATATTCTCCCACACGACTGCGGCAACGCAAAATAAAAGCAGAAACATAAAATGAAATTGCAGTGGCCGCTGGCAACGCTTAGCATCTGTGGAGAGAGTGGAAAAAAAACAAGTTCATGTTCCAGGTCATGAGATCTTCCACCCATTACAAATAGGAACAAGTACAGGCCATTCAGCCTATCAAGCCTGTTTGGCCATTCAGTAATATTGGGGCTTTAGCTCCACTTTCTTGTGAGCTCCCCATGTCAATCAGAAATCTATCCAACTTGGCTGCGAGTATAATCAGTGATGCAGGCTGTCTTCTCTGGGGAAGACAACTGCATACTCTAACCACCCTCTGAAAGAAAAAGTTCCTCCTCACCACTTGAATAAAGAACACGTGTTCTGAAGCTGGGACCCGCGGTTCCATATTTCCCCACAAGGGGTGACATCATCCCAGCATCCGTCTTGTTAAACCCAGGCAGTGTCTTCTATGTTTCAACCAGATCACCTCTCCTTTTCTCTGAACTCCCCGATGGGCATGGATCAAATATGTCCCCTTCATCCCCAAAATCAACCTCATAACCCGTCTTTGAACTAACTCTAATGCAAGTATGGTCTTTTCCCTTAAGGAAAGATAAAGTGGAGAAACTGTGTTAGCTCTGACTCTAGCATTGGCAGTTCTTACTATCTCTGGAGAAGAGTATGTTTGATTGTTTAGCAAATGGACTTTGGTTGAAAGAGGCATTGCCTGGGAAAATGCAGCAGTTGTAGGAGGTCGAGGGGTGACCTTATTGAGTTTTATAAAATCATGGGACAGATGGATAAGGTGAATAATGAGGGTTTAGGGTGGGGGGGGCATATTTTTAAGGTGAGAGGTGAAGGATTTAAAAGGGACTTGAAGGGCAACATTTCTTTTACCCAGAGAGTGCTTCATGTGTAGAATGAACTGCCAGGGAAAGTGGTGGATGCAGGTACAGTTACAAAGTTTAAAAGACATTTGGATAAGTTTTTAAAAGGAAAGGTTTTAGAGGGACATGGGCCAAATGCAGGCAGGTGGGACTAGTTTAGTTTGGGATTATGGTCGGCATGGACTGGTTGGACCGAAGGGTCTGTTTCCATGCTGTATGACTCTGACTCTAAGTGACAGTTAACTGCCAAGAACAAGAAAGGGGAGAGAAAGATAAACACTACTTTACTAATGTCTTTTAATATATTCAGTAAGTCAAAATAGCACCAGAGCACGGTGACACTGAACGTTCACGCATCAATGTCGAGGGACATTCATGCGACTCTTGATAGGCACTTGGATGATAGTGAAATGTAGGGTATGCGGGGTAGTTTGATCTTAGAGTAGGATAATAGGTCGGCACAACATCATGGGCTGAAGGGCCTGTACTGTTCTATGTTTTATGTTCTGAACACTTTTCACTGTATTTTCTTTTAAAATACCGGTACGACAATAAGTCATTGAATTCAACTCAATCATTCAATTCAATTCAAGCTTTGGTTAAATTTGAATCAGACAAGTTGACTCTGCTGGGTTCTGAGGAAGAAATCAGAGAACGGTCACAGCTGATGAAAACCGATACACACACTGCACCTGTTTCACCTGAACAAGAGAGAGACAATATTACACTCCTCTTTTTCAGTGCAAAAACATTTTTCCCCTTTATTGGTATTCTTGCAAATTGTCGAGGAATGCAAGATGAAAAGTTTCAATGAAATGCGTCTTTTTTCAGCAATACTCAAAAGGGAAGGGCAGGATAATGTGGAAGCAAGGGGATACGAAAAGGCAAAAGGGGTGAGGACATAAATCATAAGGAGAGGGCCATGTGGCCAATAAAGGAAGTAAAAATGGTGTAGGATTGAGCAAAAACCCCATCATCATGGACAAGACCCTGGGCTTTTCAAAAGTAAAGGGGGACAAGCTGGGCAGAGCTCTTGGAAAAATACAGAAACACAGAAATGGCTGCTTGGAACTATTGGTCACTCAGAGATAGCAAGAACTGTAGATGCTGGAGTCAGAGTCAATACAGCGTGGAGCTGGAGGAACACAGCAGGTCAGGCAGCATCAGAGGAGCAGGAAAGTTGACATTTCGGGTTCACAGCCTTCATCAGGACTGGGGAGGGGGAAGGGAGCTGGGAAATAAATAGAGGGAGGAGGGATATGGCTGGTGGAAAGTAGGTGGGATGATGATAGGTGGATGCAGGCAGAGGGTATTGGGGATAGGTCAGTGGAATGGGTGGGGCGGATAGGTGGGAGAGAAGATGGACAGGTTGTGTCAGGTCAAGGAGGCAGGGATGAGAGGTAGGATTGTACATGGGATGAGGACGGGAGGGGGAGATTTTGAAACTAGTGAATTCTATGTTTAGGCCATCGGGCTGCAGGCTCCCAAGGTGGAATATGAGGTGTTTCTCCTCCAGTTTGCGGTTGGTGTCATTGTGGCACTGGAGAAGGCCCAGGATGGACATGTCACCAGGGGAGTGGGAAGGGGAGTGAAAGTGGTTGTCAACTGGAAGGTGTTGTTGATCACAGCACACAGAGTGTAGATGCTCCGTGAATGGGTCACCGAGTCTGCATTTGGTCTCACCGATGTAGAGGAGGCCACATAAGGAGCGAAGGATACAGCAGACCAGGTTGGAGAGTGTACATGTGAACCCCCTGTCGGATATGGAAAGTTTGCTTTGGGCCTTGGATGGAGATGAGGGGGGAAGCATAGGGGCAGGGGTAGCACTTCCTGCGGTTTCAGGGAAAGGTACCGGAGGTGGTGGGCTTGCTGGGGAGTGTGGAGCAGACAAGGGAGTCGCAGAGAGAGCGATCCCTACGAAAGTCAGACAGGGGTGGGGAGGGAAATATCTCTTTGGTCGTGGGGTGTATTGTAAGTGGCAGAAAATGATACGCTGGATGCGGAGGTTGGTGGCGTGGCATGTGACATATCCATCCTGGGCCTCCTCCAATGCCACAATAGTGCCACCCGCAAACTGGAGGAACAACACCTCATATTCCGTCTTGGGAGCCAAAGAGCCCAAAGGTCTCAACATAGAACTCACCAGTATCAAAATCTCCCCCTCCCCAGTCCTGATGAAGGATGTAAACCCGAAATAACCACTTTCCTACTCCTCTGATGCTGCCTGACTTGCTGTGTTCCTACAGCTCCACGCTGTATTGACTGGAGCCATTCTTCAGCCTGGAATTCCAATTTACACCTGCACTCTAACAGAATGATCAACCAAAACCTAACAATCTAGATTGAAACTAACGTTAACAGATACCGAACATTCAACTTCAATCAAAACCCATTTACACATAATTTAACTATTAGTAATCCAATTCACTTCAGAAGTAGACACCGGAAACACAGTGGACAACACAGATTTGAGGGGAGATAACGGGGCACACATTCTGTACAACTGCTAGCCCTGATCTGACCTGAAGTGAGAGCCTTTTTCAACAATAAGCCTTTGCACAAACAGCATCCCCCCCCCCCCGCCGAGGTTTCCAGCCCCAACAAGCAGCTTCGGAACCAAGAACCACAGATGCCGAACAGACAAGCTGAATCAGGGTGCCGAGCCACGGGCATCATCGCAACAAAGGGCATCCAACAGGGGAGCAAGCCAAACAAGTGCTATGTGAACAAAAGCTTCCAGACACAGGCCTGTTCTGGAGCAAGACAGAGTCAACAGCAAGAACCTCAGCAACCAGGCACACTTTAAAACCACGTTTTCCTCAGCAGTGAGTTAAAACTCCAGAGACCCCAAAGTTCCGACCTAGCTAGAAGGGAGGGGAAGGCATGTGGTAACAGTGCATGGGATCCCAAGGGTAGGAAACCTGATTAAAGTTTCTGTGATTAAAACTGCTGTTTAGCTTCCAACTGGTGTTTAAGTTAAGTGTACTTCATGACTGCCCTCTGTATAATTGATAGCATTAATCTTACTGTTTAGTGTTTTTAAAATTTGTATTTCTTGCATTATACTTTTTTAAATAAATGCAAAGATTCTTTTGCCCTGAAACACTTGTCTACTCTTCTTCATTTCACATTCCCTAAATAGGTCCAGTGTCTAGAACCAGGGATCTGGGAGTGATTCGAACCACCTAAATTCAGCAAATTACTGATTGCAAACCAGAACTACATGATCGATCACCAGAGTTTATTGGAATAGATCAACAGCAAAACCAGCTGCAAAAATCCTGGCCTGGATTTTATAAGATGGCATGGTCCAATCTCACCCTGGACTGGCTAAAACATCAGTGCAGAACCTGCCCAGGGAAGGAATGGCCACTTAATGGTTAACTGACCAATTGGATGGCCAGAGATAGTAGGAACTGCAGATGCTGGAGAATCTGAGATAACAAGGTGTAGAGCTGGATGAACACAGCAGGCCAAGCAGCATCAGAGGAGCAGGAAGGCTGACGTTTCGGGCCTAGACCCTTCTTCAGAAATGGATGGCCAGCAGTGCTGTGGTCTCAGCAGCGCTAGGCAGGTGCGGTGGCCACTGCCGGGACTGCAGGTGACCCTCCAATGAAAGCAACTACTAGCGCCAAGCTCCATGGTAAGTGAGGGGCTGGGGGAAGAGTAGGGGATATGAAGGAGTGGCTCAGGCAGGCTGACTGGTGCCAGCAAGGGGTCAGGGGAGAGAATGGAAGGTTTGAAAGGCTGGGGTTGGGAAGTGAGGGGGGGGCGGGAAAGAGAAGAATATTCTTCAGGGGGGAACATAGGGGTGACATCAAGGCGGAGGGGGCACGCTGTGGGTGTCCAGGGGATGACCCATGAAGGAGGTCCTGCCCTTTTTGGCCCAACCCCAGCTAAAGCCACCAGTTTCCCTTATGGTCAACTCAGTCTGCGGTGAAATTGTGACAGGACAGGAAGAGTCCCAGCAATGAGCCACCCAAGGCCGTGTGAACTACCCCTTCATCACTGCTCAGGGGTAGGGTTAGGCAGGTAGATGGCAGGAAGACTGGTCACTGGATTCTGTAAGACCCCCATCTCCAAGCCTAGCACAAAACCCAAGCCCAACAGACAGATTTCTTATTCTCAATGATCCCAGCACTAGTTCCGAGGAAGGGTCACCAGGCCTGAAACGTTAACTCTGTTTTCTCCTTCACAGATGCTGCCAGGCCTGCTGAGTTTTTCCAGCAACTTTGTTTTTGTTCCCAAACTAACATCTCTGGGCCTTCTAGAGAGCTCCAATCCATACAGTGAGGAGTACAGCTTCAGACGTTGCTCGAACCAACCAAAAGCCCTGTCCCAATCCCATTCCTCTGTCCTGGGAGAACAAAAGGCTGAAGGATCTCCTCCTGTGCCATTACCATCCTACACTTAGCAATAAGCAACAGCATCAGTGTTGATATCCGAGTGTTGCATAGGCTCCATAGAAAGGACAGGAGATGGAGGCCATTTGGCCCCCTTTGCATCAGTGCTGGCTCTTTTGAGGATGAATCCACTTCCTTTCTAATCCTGCACATATTTCTGCCCATCAACACCCCTTTGAAGGTTACTATTGAACTCCTCACTCCCATCAGTCAGAATGTTGCACATCCTAACCCCATGTTGTATCTAAACCAAAAATCTCTTCAAGTTTAAGAAAGGAATTTTCAAAATAAACAGAAGCAGTCCACTGATCCCACAGTGACCCTGGTTCATTTGGACGTGGGTGAAAGGCAGGGCCTAGCGATGGGAGTGTCGCTCTGCAATGCCCTACCTCGTGGAATAGCTTGTCCAAGGAACCACTGAAAGGTCGGAGGGATTTGTGGAAAACCCACAGACCCAGAAAGGAGCAGATATCAGCAGCTCAGGCCAGCAGGGAATAAATCTGGGTGGATAGGAGCAGGCTGCAGAAAATACGACTGTTCGGAACGTGATCAATAAATTAAAAATCAGTGAAGCAATATGTACTAGTAGGCCACTCAGCCCCTCAAAACTGTTCTCCTATTTACTAAGATCGTGGCTGATCTGATTACTCCACCATTTCACCTATGCCCCACTGATGACCTTTCAGCCCCTCATGAAACAAAAATCTACCTACTTCTGCCTTTTTCAAAGACTCTTTTTCAAAGGACTCTCTTTCAAACACTCTCAAAGGCAAAGACATAAGAATTCTATGATTCTATGACTTCCACTTCCTCTATCTCTTAAGGAAGACACTTCCAATACGTGTTTGTCAGTCGTACACTGTCGTACATTGGTTTGTTGCAAAAGACTTCAGTTATTTACTCTTTCCCTTCTCCATCCCTGATGCCACGGATTCTGTGTCTTCGGAGGAAGCCCACAGCAGCAAGAGTACGACCAAGTGACCATACCCTATGCTGCCAAGGGCTATTTCACTACAGAAGGCTTCGCTACCAACCTTCCCAACAGCCATGCTTTCCAGTGGTGAGAGGACACTGGACACCCAATTAGGGTCAGGGTTAACCTCCTGATGGACTCCTCCTCTCTCTTGCAACCCACCTCTCCCAACTCCCATGCCCTGTCTTAGAGATGTCCATCAGATCCCTCTCCAAGCTCTCCGCTGGAAAAGGGAGAAAGTTCCTTGGGGTGGGGGGAAGGAATTGCATCAGTGTGACTGGGGCATTAGTGCAGTGGAAACTGTGCTTGTGCATCAAAATAATGACTGAGAAGAATTTAGAGGTGGGTGGAAGGAGTGGTGGTGGTGGTTTGGGGATTAAATCAGGTGAATGGGGGAGGAAGGGGGAAAGGGGGATAGAGGGGGTGAATGGGGGGAGAGAGTGGCAAAATGGGGGAGAAGGGGAAATGGGAGTGGAGAGAGGGAGAATTGGCAGAGAAGGGAGAATGGGGTAGAGAGACAGAGAATGGGGGCACGAGAGGTGAAATGGGGGAGAAAAGTCAAAGGGTGGACAGAGGGGGAATGGTGGAGAAGGGGGAAGGGGGAATGGGGATGGAGAGAGGGAGAATGGGGGGGGGGAAAGAGAGGCAAAATGGTGGGGAAAGGTCAAGAGGAATGGACAGAGAGGCAATGGGGAGAAGAGGCAATGGAGGAGTGAGTCAGAATGGGGGAGAGGTGGAAATGGGGGAAGAGGGGAAATGGGGGTGGAGGGGAGGGAATGGGAAGAAGGGGATTGGAAGAAGAGAGGATGAATTGGGGGGAGCGAGGATGAATTGGAAGTGGAAGTGGAAGTGGAAGTGGAGAGAGGGGAATGTTGGAAGGCAGAGAATGTGGGAGGAATGGGGTAGGGGGAGTGGGAAGGAGGGATTGGGGAGAGAGAGGGAAATGGGGTGAGAGGGTGAAGACCAGCAATGGGGGCATAGAGGTAGAAAATGGTGGGGGGGTGGGAAGGAGATAATTCCAATTTTTAACGTGGCTGTCAATACCTCTCCCTCAAACAAAAGCAAACACACATTGAAGTTCCAGAGAGAGGGAGAGTAAGGAAGGGACAGCAGACAATCACTGAATGTACCAAAGTGGAGATGGCACTCACCCTCTTAAAGGAACCACTCCGACTGGCACATGAAGAGTTAGGTCGTGCAAGTTGCCGCCTTCGCTGCGCCTAGATGAACCCCGTAGTGAACCATGAACAGCGGTCAGGAGGGAGGGACGGGCCGATAAGACTCTGCTGAGAGCTCAATGAGAAGTGAAATCTCCAAACGTGGTCCCCACCACGTCAACGGGGAACACCCCCACAGTGACGTAATGCCAACACCCTGTCGTCATGGGGTTGTGACGTCACCCAGCTGCTTCCCTCCTCTCTCTGTTTTTTTGTCGCATTCAAAACTTTCCAAACTTTTCTCTCTCTGTGTGGAGTTCACTCTTGGTAAACTCTTCCCCTACCCCCCCTCCTTACAACAGGAGCACAGCTCAGCGCCCCTCCTCCCCTCATCATGTCCCTTTAAGTCATTATTGTGTCATTTTTGTTTAATCATTAATTTAAACAAAATGAAACATTTAGGGAGGATGAGGACGTTGCATTTACCTGACCTCCAGCGTCCTTAGCTTTTCACACACATGCCCAGATAGTTTGGTGTGGGCCATCACTTTGTTCTTTTCTCCAGTGCCAACCTCAGAATGTTTTTGATCCAAGCATCTATTTTGTTTTGCTGAGGTTGGGGGTGGAGTATTGCATAATTAATGATATGATAATTAGAAAGGGGATGATGTCACCAGGGGGCTGTCACGAAGTGAAAGTCTTGCCAAGGTCTCTGTGTGTAGGGGTTACAGAGTTAGAACCAGGCCCAGGTAAGGTAATCTGATCCATCACAATTCCAGATGAGATGGCTCAAATCATCAAGTCCTTGGTCAAAGATAGATGAACTAATTCCCCTACTTTATTCACCCCAGTTAACTTACAAAGGGCCCCTTCCCATTTCTCCCAGACCCAAATGGATTTATGTTTTAAAAGGAACCCATTTAACCAGACTTTCTTGAGGTAGCAATAGAGTAAGTTTATTAGTTACTGATCAGGAGAAGAAATACTATCACAACACACATACATAGATCAGGAATAAGAAGCAAGCAAAATATAAAAGTTTTTCAAACAAATATATGGATCAATCTCTGCATCATTTGTGAAAATGTATTTAGCAGAACATAGAATCTGTACAGTGCAGAAAGAGGCCATTCAGCCCATTGAGTCTGCACCAACCCTCCAAAGAGCATCCCACCACCACTACCCCATCCCTGTAACTCTACATGGGTGATTTTTTAAACTGTCGTTAACCCACCTAACCATTTTTTTTCCCCCCACACACCCAATTCACCAAGCCTGCACATCTTTGGACTGTGGGAGGAAACCAGAGCAAACTCACACAGACACAGGGAGAACATGCAAACTCCACACAGACAGTTACCCAAGGCTGGAATTGAACTCAGGTCCCTGGTGCTGTGAGGCAGCAGTGCTAGCCACTGAGCCATGGTGTCACCCCACTTTGTGGCACTCACATTAGACGGTGCTAGTAGTGTTGAAATTGGCAGTTGGACAGTCAATTTTGAGACTCTTGGCTTTCTAGGCTGATTGAAACTCTTTTATCCTGGTCCCTTTTGACAGTGACTGACTGACTGGTGATACTCAGACATACACAGTATCTCACCTTTTTTACCTGCAGTGCAGGGGTTTTTAAATGGTTGTACTCAAGCTACAACCTTCATAGCACACTACTCCACACATTAGCACATCAACCTAACCCACTTACAGACCAGAGGTTGTATTTTTAACCAACAAAAACAGAAATTGCTGGAGAAACGCAGAAGGTCAGCATCAGTAGAAAGAGAAATGGAGTTTACCTTCTGAGTCTGGTATGGCTTGTCCTCAGAATACTTCCTCAGTTTCAAAGAAGTATCATTGGATTTGAGCTGTAAGCTCTGTTTTTCTCTTCACATATCTTCTGAGTTCCTCCAGCATTTTCTGTTTTTATTTACAATTTCCCACATTTGCAATACTCTGCTATTCTGCTGTGTGTTGGAATAGTGGAGTCTAACGGCAAAAAAGGTACGAATTAGGGTATACAAAGGGCTACATACAGATTAACTGAGGAAGCCAAGCTACGACAGGAGTTAAACCATGAGATATCCAGTTTGCATCCAAGAGACAAATTGCATAAATTCTTTAAGGATGAGAAACCTGGAACTGTGAAGAAGTAAGTGGAAGTTGAGATGTGACCTTATAGAAGTTTATAAAATCATGAGAGGTATAGATAGGTTTAATGGTAGATATCTTTTCCCTAGGATGGGGGATTTCAAGCCTAGTGGCATATTTTTAAGGAGAGGGGAGAGAGATTTAAAAAAGATATGAGGAGCAATTTTTTTACACAGTGAGTGGTTTGATTAGGGAATGAACTTCCTGAGGAAATGGTTGATGTGAGCATATTTACAATGTTTAAAAGACATTTGGTTATGTACATGAATAGGAAAGGTTTGGAGGGGTATGAACCAGGAGCAGGCAGGTGGGACTAGTATAGTTTGGGAATATGTTCAGCATGGACTGGTTGGACTGAAAGGCCTATTTTTGTGCTCTATGGCTCTGTGAACGTACACAGGTCACTAAAATTACATGATCGACAATCCTGGAGTTACATTGAGAATTCAATAATAAAACTTAGCGAATTACAAGAGAAGTTGAGCTGGTTATAATTCTCTCCAGGGGTTAACAGACTGTACCAGACAGGTAGAAATGCACTGTCACTATTTTTTAATATCATATGAATTCCCTGCTTTTCTTTTGATATTTGCAACATACATCTGCCAACTCAGGCTCTTCAATGAAGAGCCCTATGGCTTAAGACTAGTTAAAACTCTCGACTGTTTCATTTCAGTGCTGTCTGATTATTGTTGTGACAGCAACCATGTTGTATTTTAATCGCGGTCGCATTGTGAGTGTTGCAGATTCTGCCAGCAGAGGGTACTGTTCACCAACTCATGCATTCAACACTGCGCAGGATATACTGAACGAATCTGAAGACTATTTCAGGTTGCACTCTCATTGAAGAATTTGGGCAGTTTAATTTCAGATTGTAAGGGTACCTAGAAGTGATTTACATGTTGGAATCAAAAGAAGATGTTTGCAGATTGAATACTAGAAACTCTGGAGGGAGTTACAGGTTGGATTCTAAGCGATATGGGCTAAAGTTACGGAAGAGATTGTAGAACCTGTGATTTATTTTAAAAATGTCCATTCATTGGATGTGGGCATCACAGACAGACCAACATCTATTGCCATCCCCAGTTACTATTGCAAAGGTGATGGTGAGCTGCATTATGCATGTGGTCTAGGGACACTCACAGGGCTGTTAGAGAGGGAATGCAGATTTTTGACCCAGTGACAGTGAAGGAATGGCGATATGTTTCCAAGCCAGGATGGTGTGTGGTTTGGAGGGGAACTTGCAGGTGGTGGTGTCCCCATGTATCTGCTGACCTTGTCCTTCCAGGGGTAGAGATCACTGGTTTGGAAGGAGGTGTGGTGAATTGTTAGAATGAATTTTGTCCATGGTACGCACTGCTGCCATTAGTGGTGGCGGGAATGAATGTTGAATGGGCAATGTTCCCACTAATTATTTTATCTTCTGCGTTGACCTCTGAGGTCCATTGTTGGAGAGGTCCATGCATTGCAGTGACTTCTGGAACTGCATTTAAATGCTGCAGATGGTGTCAGCATGGCAATAGCCATGTGCAGACTCTTGGAGCCACTACACATGTACACACACCTTAGAGGGAATATTGGTGATAAAGTGCCAATCAAGCAGGCTGCATTGTCCTGGATGGTATCAAGCTTCTTGAGTGCTGTTAGAGCTGCACTCATTCAGGCCAATGGAGAATATTCCATAACACGCCTGACTGGTGCCTTGTGGATGGTGGAGAGGCTTTGGGGAGCCAGGAGTAAGTTATTTGCTGTCTTAGAGCAGGGGAGATAGGGAGAGCCTTAATAGGCCTGGACATAGATGGTAATATAGTCAAAATGTCACTGGATTAGTAAAGCAGATGACCCAGGGATAGGGATTAAAACCCCATACAGTCAGCTGATGAAGTCAGGTAATAATAATAGAAACGTAGAAAATAGGAACAAGAGTAGGCCATTCAGCCATGTGAACTTGCTTCTATCTGGAATTGGAAGTTAATCTCAATGATAGTGACCATAGAAGCTATCATCATTTGTCATAAAAACCCATCAGGGTTACTCATGCCTTTTAGGGAAGGAAATCTGCCATCCTTACCTGGGCTGGCCTACATGTGACTCCAGACCCATAGCAATGTGTCTTAACTGCCCCCTGAAATAGTAGTGCAAGAGCAATTAGGGTTTGAATGCCACTGATGCCCACATCCCATGAAAGAATTAAGAATGAGAAAGAAGTGCCCAGAACTACAATAGTATTTAATAGTACAATCAAACAGTTTTCTTTGGCAGGAGGGACACTAACCAAATAGTACAGATTTGATGGTTAGAGACCAGAGAAACAGGGAGGAAAGGGGAGTTTTTATTTCTATTACAGTTATGATTTGGAACATACTGCCTGACGGGATTACGGAAGGTGATGGAAGTCATTTCCAAGAATAGCAACATCTAATACCGCATTCATATAATCCCTAACAGCATTACCTTCCCTAACAGCATTACCTTCCCTAACAGC